GCTGGGCTGTGAGTTTGCAGCTCTAATTGGGGTTCAAGCCTGTGTCTAAGCAAGAAAATCAAATGCAGGAGGCAGGAAAGAGAGTTAGACTAGATATTAGGAAGAAATTCTTCCCTGTGAGGGTGCTGAGGCACTGGCACAAGTTGCCCAGAGAAGCTGTGGCTGCTCCATCCCTGGGGGTGTTCCAGGCCAGGTTGGATGAGGCTTGGAGCAGCCTGGGCTGGGGGAAGATGTTCCTACCCATGGCAGGGGGGGAATGAAAGGAGCTTTAAGGTCCTTCCAACCCAAAGCATTCTGTGATTCTGTGATTCTAGGAAGTGGGAAATGATCAGGGAGGAAATGTTTATGCCTCCTCCCCAGCAGCTCAGCTCAGCTCCGGCACTGAGCAAGAGGCTTCAAACCTTCCAAAGCCACTGGAGCTCCAGGTGAGCTCAGGGTGCACATCCCAGGGGGACACCCAGAGACCCATCATCCTGGGTGCAGAGGAGGGTGCAGCCAGGAGAGAAGTGTTTTGGGGAGCCCCAAGCAGCACCCCTGGTTGCCAGCTTGGCTGAGACCTTCAGTCTTGAGCAGAAGAGTTGGGGCTCCTGGTTATAGCCCCCATTAAAAGCAGGGCAGGAGGTGCCCTGCAGGAGAGAGATGCCAGTGGGAGGTGAGGGGTGCTGGGTGTCATGTATGAAGCTCTCACCGTGCGTGTGGTGCTCTGACCTCATGTGTAGAGTTCTGACCACATTCTTCTGGCATTGGCTGAGTATTGGTGCCTTGTACCTGGGGGTAGACTTGTTGTGAAACTCTGTCCTTTACACCCTGGATGCTGCATCTGCCATTCATGTCTGGGTTTGGGATCTGTGGAGAATCCCTTCGAGTTCATCCTCTGGATTTTGTGTGTGTTTCTGGCCATGGTGTGATGCTAAAAGATTTCCTTTAATTAGTAGCATCCGTGTGGGTTCCTGTTCCCAGCCTGGTGAGGAAACTCGGTGTCTTTGCGGAACTTGCAGCCTGAGGAAGCAGAGATAAAGGAAGGTTGTCCTCATGCTTGAGCTTCTGCTCTGTGCAAGTTTCCTCTTGGCAGAGTGAAAGAGAACTTAACTCTTTAAACATCGTGTTTGAAATGTGGGAGTGGGGCATGGCAGGAGTGGGGCTGCAGCATCCCTATTGGAATTTTTCAGGCTGAGCCACTCCTGCAAGGGAGCCTTGGGCTCAGGGCTTGGGGAAGGGCTGAGAGGAAAGACAAAGTTCCTGCAAGGAATTATGTGTTGGGAGTGTGGGAATGGAGAACACAGCACTTGTGGGTGTGGCCTTTGGCAGATGCTCTGTGGGATGCTGGGATGTGGTACCAGGATGAGAGCTCTGGGATGTTTGGGTTGTCGAGGTGCTGTTGTCACTTTTCACTTGGTGCCAGCACATATGGTGTCCTCCTGCTGCCTGCCAGAGCACGGCTGAGCCAAAGCTCTGCTGGGGCATCACAAGTGCCTGGTGACACCACAAAGTCTTAGGAGGGGGTTGAGGACCAACTGTCCTCTCCACTGTGCCATGGGGACCACCAAGTGTGGGGAGGTTTGTAGGAAATGGGAGCATTTTCCATGCAATGGAGCAGGTCAAGTTGAGGCCACTTGGCATTTCTGTCACTTCCTCCTTTTACATCCCTTTTTCTATTCCTGCCCTGGGGCTGTTGCCCAAGGGGCTGCCTGCCTCTGTCCTCTCCAGTGAGCCAGAACCAGAAGTGGGACCTCAACGAGACAGTTCCTGGTTAAAAATAACCCCACTGACCTGTCTCTGGAAGTGCTGAACTGGGAATGGATCTTCCCTGTAGCAGGAGATCTGTAATCAATGGGGTGACAGCAGCCTTGGCCCCCAGCACATGGCTCCATGTACAATCAGATCCTTTCATGCCTGTGCCCAGCCAGCTCTACCTGTCCTTTACTTCCCCAGATTAATTCCTTCTTTTTTTTCCCCTAGTTGCCGAAGCAGCAACAGGAAGAGCTTAGTGGTGGGCACCCCCTCTCCGACCCTCTCGCGGCCTCTCTCCCCCCTCTCCGTGCCGACAGGTAAGGGATGTCCCAGCAGATGGGAGCATCTCCCACATTCCCTGAGCAATTTGAAAGGGTGGCAGGGGACCCTTCTTTTCTGCTGTTAGCAGCAGCAGACTTGCTCCTGGCCATAGGTGCTTTTTCTAGTAGGGAATAGCTTGGGAAGTGATTTGCCCCCTCTTTCCCCTGAAGGAGCAGCCCACAGCACCTCGGGCATCACACTGGGGTGAATATCAGGGTGACTTTTCCCCTTTTCTCCCTACAGCTGGGAGCAGTCCCTTGGACAGCCCACGCAACTTCTCTGCCAGCACCTCCCTCAACTTCCCCTTTGCTCGCAGGTGAGATCCCAGCTCCAGCCCCAGAGCATTGATATTCCCCAACAAATATAATCCATCAGCTGTGACTCTTCTGTTGATCTCCATTGACTTGTTTTCCCTTTATTTTTGCTTTTTTTTTCTCCTTGATTTCTGGTCTGGTGGTGCTTGCTCTGCTGTGACTGGTGCCTCCCCCCACCCCAGCCATGCTCCTCGGACTGACAGGTGAGTACCAGGGATGGGCAGGGGCTGCATTTTGGGGAGGTGTCTGCTCCATATCATCATGGACCTTCTGTTTTAAGTGTTTAGGGCCAGGTTGGATGGGGCTTGGAGCAATCTGGTCTAGTGGAAGTTGTACCTGCCCATGGCTGGGGATTGGAACTGGATGGTCTTTAAGGTTCCTTCCAACCCAAACAAATCTAAGACTCTGATTATTGCATCCCTGGGTGGGAGATTTTGCTCCAGGACTGGGCTCCCTGCAGCTCTGGGAGCAGAAATATCCCTATTCCCATCACACCCTCCCTGGCACGTGCTCAGCCCCAGCTTGGACCTGCTCTGATGGATGCTTGGCAGATGTCTGGGGATGGATGCTCATCCAGGTCCTCACAGAGGCAAATCCTGCTGCATCCCTGTCACTGCTCCAGATGCAGCCACCAGAATCCTGTTTAACCAATTAATTAATCACACACATGGGGGCAGATGGCTGATTTCAACCCATCGATTGCCACATGGAAAAACGCTGGAGGCTTAGGGATGGTTTGCACTCTTGGAACAGAGTGGGAAACCAGACCGCAGGGTCAGGAGTTTGCAGTGCTGGCAGCCAGGGCTCCCGTGGTGCTGGAGCCAGATCCGGCACCCTGCCAGCTCCTGCTGTCCTTGACCCTGCATGGGAAACAGCAGTGGGAGGTGAAGGGCCTCAACTTGACCTGGATGTTGCCCCTTCCATTAGAAACATCTCCAAGAGGAAGCATTCGCCTACGTATGAGCCGTTGCCTTCCTGTTTACAACCAGGCTGTGCTCCGCGGCGCCTGTTGTCTCAGGATGAGTCTTTGGGAATCCTGAGACAACTCCCAGAAGGCTGAATTTTGCTCTAATTAAAAATCAGATCCTCGCAGGGTTTTGTTTTTTTTTTTCTTGTCTGAAATGGATTCGCCACCCAACCGAGCCCCAGCGTTGTCCCTTCACAGGGACCCTGCTCACTGTCACTGTCCCCATGGAAACCTGCACACTGGGGACAGCCTCACTCACCTGCAAACCCCTCCTATCTCACTCCACTTCAGTCCCTTCTGAAAAGAGGTCTCAGGGGTTTATTACTCAAGCCAAACCTGCCTCCTCTTCCCCAGCCTTTTTGCTCTGATGTTACTGATTTGCATTTAGATGGTGAGTTTTTTCCCCTATATGTGACTGTCACATTTGCACTCTCAGGGCTGATGGCAGAAGGTGGTCACTGGCTTCGCTACCCTCCTCTGGCTATGGGACCAATACCCCCAGCTCCACGGTCTCGGTAACCTTTGCTTTCTTGTGGCAGTAGATGATAAGAACATAAACCCCCTTGAGTTTTGGTGAAATGCCTCCTGAGCACTATGGCAGCAGTTCCTTGGCAGCCCCTTCTCTCCTAGAGGACCATGTGCTTTAGCTGCATCATGCTTCCCAAATGTGCTTTAAGAAAGCCCCCAAAGGGCTTGGCTAAGGGCTGACAGCATCCCTGGGGGTTACAGCATCCAGTGACAGCATTCCTGGGGGTGACAGCATCCCTGGGAGTTAGAGCATCCCTGGGAGTTACAGCATCCCTGGGAGTGACAGCATTCCTGGGGGTGACAGCATCCCTGGGAGTTAGAGCATCCCTGGGAGTTACAGCATCCCTGGGAGTGACAGCATTCCTGGGGGTGACAGCATCCCTGGGAGTTAGAGCATCCCTGGGAGTTACAGCATCCCTGGGAGTTACAGCATCTCTGGGAGTTACAGCATCCCTGGGGGCTGGGGGTTACAGCATCCCTGGGGGTTACAGCATCCTTGGTGTTACAGCATCCCTGGGAGTTGCAGCATCTCTGGGGGTTACAGTGTCCCTGGGCATTAGAGCATCCCTGGGTGTCACAGCATCTCTGGGTGTCACAGCATCTCTGGGTGTCATGGGTTAAGGGTGCATGGGATGTATCCCAGGAGCTGCCTGGGATGTTGGAGGTAGAAGGGATGGAGCTCAGTGGAGCCAAGTTGAGTGGGAGACTGAGGGAACTGGGGATGGGAATGGGCAGTGCAGACCTCTCCGAGCTGGCCTTCTCCTCCATATTTCACCCAGAGCACACTGCCTGGCAGTGTTTCCAGCCTCCCAAGAGACTCTAAGGAATATTTTCCTCACGGGCTTTCTGATTTCCACCTCACTGCTGGGAAAAATGGATCCATCTCCTGATCTCCTCTCTCTCTCTTTCCAGTCATCTTCGTCCTCCCAGGAGCGCCTGCACCAGCTGCCATACCAGCCTACCCCTGATGAGCTGCATTTCCTTTCTAAGCATTTCCGCAGTTCGGAAAGCGTCACGGACGAGGAGGGGAGGCACTCGCCCTGCCTGCGCCCTCGATCCAGGAGCCTCAGGTATGGCACCACTGTGGGGAGCACCCATGGTGCTGCTGGCATCATGCACCAAGTGCCAGCACATCCAGTGCATCCTCTGTCCTCTCATCAGCTGTTCCTGGCATGTCGTGGTCCTGCTAAGCCTATTCCGAGGTGTTGATCCTGACATGAGTTTTCTCCTTGCAGAAGAGTGGAGAAAATTTGGCTTGAGGTTGTAGGTGCCCCATCCTTGGAAGTGTTCAAGGCCAAGTTGGACAGGGCTTAGAGCAACCTGGTCTAGTGAAACCTGCCCATAGCAGGAGGTTGGACTCGATGAGCTTTTAGAGGTCCTTTCCAACCCAAACTATTCCATGATATTATGATCCTAACCTCTGTGATTTTATGATCCTAAAGATTTTGGGCATTAGGGTCTGGTTCTCAGCATCTTCTTGGCTCTTGGGACATGACATTCCTCTCCTGGAAGCAGATGATGCCTGAGAGGGAGATTTCCTGAGACTGAAACTGGAGAAAGTGGGATTTGTTTCAAAAATGATTGGTTTGCAGGCTTTCTCAATTGTCTGAATGGTTTCGATGGTGAGGAGAGGAACACCAAGCAGAATCCCAAGGGGTGGCTGTCCTTGCAGTCTGACCTGCTGTTAAAAGGGTTAAAGATCCCATTTCTGGGCTTGGATTGGGAAACATTCTCTTTGTTTGCTGGGGCTGGCCTTTGCCTCTGCAAAAAATCCATGAGAAGCATAGGTAAATGGGCATTTGTGGGCTGGAGAGAGGAAAATTTGGAGAGAGCATCAAGCTGGTGGCTGTAGCAAGCTGATCCTATGGACTCACTGAGCTCCATGTTGCTTTTCCAAGTCTGTGCCCCATGCAAGGAGCCAGTGATATTTCTGCTTGTCCAGAACCAGAAGCTTCTGCTTTTTACAGGGGATGTTTTGGTTAAATTCTCTTTTCGCTCTGAGAAAACTCCCAACCCCCTTTGCACCAGAGTCAGAGTCATAGCTCTGTGTGTTGCTGGCTGAAATGTCATTAAAATCAGATTAATTACCTGACAGGGTTTTGTAGGTGGTGAGGTTTTCACCAAGGAGATGGCAGCTCTGTGGTTGGCATGGCAAAGGCTGGGCTGGGCTGGGGCTGGCAGTGAGCAGCCTGGGTCTGGTTTTAATCACCACATTTATTATTTTATTGTGGGTAATGAGTTGCTGGCTGCTCCTGTGACTTGCTTTGCATAATGGGATCACCAAGCAGAGGCCTGGGAGGGGCAGTGCTGGGTGGGGGTAGGAGAAACTCCACGTTTAATGAAGGTTGCAGCATCCACCCTGGGCTTTGGTTGGGTGTTCTGTTTGCTGGTGAACTGCAAAAAGGACAGCGACGGCAAAAGATTGTGGGATCCAGAGGAAGGAAAGGATGAGCTTGTTCTTCAAAGCCAAGTGGTTGATAGACCAGCCTCTCAGCTCTGGAATTTTCAAGTGACTTGTGTTTGGAGACCTGAGTTTGCAGGAGGTTAACCTTCCCTGGCCCACATCCCAGGGACCTTCAGGTCCATGCACAGTGGGAGGGTTGCTGCTGGAAGTGCTGTCCCAAGGCTGATGGCTCTGCTCAGATGAACTTTAACCACTTGGAATCAGGAGTTAGGAGGAGGGAATAAATTGCTCTCCAGGTGTAGCAGCTATTTGCATAGATGTAAATGACTTGAACTTCATAACACAATTCGTTTCCTCCCTCCGCAGCCCTGGACGGACGAGTGGAACGTTTGATAATGAGGTTGTGATGATGAACCATGTCTACAAGGAGAGGTTCCCCAAGGTAACTAGCAGGACTGGGAGGGGGAGATGAGTGCATGGCATCCTGACAGCATCTTCTCCAGAACAACTCCTTTTCCATGCTGGAGTATGGAATGTATGGGTAGATTCCGGTGGGTGTTGAGGTGTTAATGAACTGGGGAGACAGGGACCTGTGGGTCTGCCTCATCATGCAGGCAGCAAGAGGTCTCTGCAGACTTTGGTGCAGCTTTTCTAGTCTGCTGGAAGCTGGGTCCATGGTGGGACCATGATGTTCATGTGGATGTTGGAGCTGCAGGAGGTGGTAGGATGAGATCCTGGATGGCCAAACCCAATGGAGGAGGTGGTAGGATGAGATCCTGGAGGGCCAAACCTAATGGAGGAGGTGGTAGGATGAGATCCTGACTGGCCAAACCCAGTGCATGGCATGGGGACACATGTTCCCAGGCATCATCATCTATTCTGCCTTGCAGGCCACAGCCCAGATGG